CTCAGCCTGGCCCTGGTGACATCCCCAGCTCCTCAGAGGCCACCAATCCGTGGCCAGGGCTCCTTTTGCTCTGCCGAAGGTGGCTTCAGTGTCTGCCTCCGAAACAAGGGCGAGCCACACCCTCTGGCTGCCCCGCTTGAGGACCTCTGATAGCTAGCTTTGCCGGGTCAGTGCCCTTCCCGGTAACCCTACCTCACACCTCCAGCATCTGCTTGGATGCCTCCAGGGCCAGAGATCTCACTGCCTGCCCACCCTCAGCGGGTCTGACCCAAGCCTCAGCATCCTTGGTGGGGGGCCAGCTGGGGGAGGGGCCCCAGGAGCCGGGCAGGAGACCGGAGGGAGCGGGAGAAGGTGCACACCTGTACCCACCCCCACCCGAGCCAGCCCGAGGGGAGGCCCCCAGCCCCAAGCCAAGGAGGGAGGACAAACGGAGGTTTTGTCCTTGGCCAGCGGGCGGCCTGCGCCACACAATGACCCTTTCATCAGGCTGAGGGAGCCCTGGGCCCGGGTTTCATCTGACAAGGGAGGGCGCCCGCCTCCGGTCCCCTTGGGAGGGAGCTGAGCCCTATCTGAGCAGGACCCAGGGCCATGCAGGACCAGAGGCTCCGGGAAGCCCACTGGAGCCGCGCCATCCATGGGAGAGGAGCAGAGACCCAAGAGGCCACTCTGGACACTGCCTGCCCTGCACCCCAGGCCATCGCCCACCACCAGGCTTGGGGCCTCCCAGCATGGCGTCACTGACCCGAGCCCTGGCAGCAGCTCCGTGTCTCGAGGCACCCACAGCAATGAACCCATGGCGCACCTGCCCTGGAGGCTGGCATAGGGACAAGAACAGGAAGCGGGACTGGTGACACCTCCATCACTTCCTTTCATGGCATCAGCCCTCCCTTGCCCCAGTGAATCCCAGAGAGCCACCGGACCACCTGTGCCCACCACTGGACGGGGGCCTCAAGCTGGCAAGCTGGACCCAGATTTGGCAACCTCAGGGAAGGTCCCATCTCCAGCCCCGGCATCCTGTCTACCCCTCAGAACGACGCTGTGATTTCCCCAGAGGAGAGCCCCTGGGTGAACATGGTTGACAGTCATGTTCTTTCATCTGGGAAAATGACAGTCATGTTCTTTCATTCTTTTATTTAGTCTGTCCAACTCCTGTTCATCCTTCAAAACCCTGGCTAGGTGACATTCCCTCCAGAAAGCCCTCAGAGATATCCCAGGGAGTTTGTTTCTCCCTCTTAAACAAAGTTGCTGGGCCTTCTTCTGGGTTGTCATTGGGGAAGCCCCTGCCCCTACCAACCTCTCTTGGCCACACAGTGAGGTTGATGTGAAAGCAGCTCACTCTCCAGTGGAGACAGCCGAGGTCTGACGAAATCAGGCAGTAAGAGGCAAGGCTGGATGAGCACCCAGACCTGGTCATCCATGGGCCCGGGGCTTCCTGTGGGGGGCACTATCTCCCCTCTCTCAGTTGGCCAGGCATGGCCACATGGCAATGGGTGTGTGGCATTTTCTGTGATCAGAGAGGTTCTATTTGTCTGCCTCAGCCAGGACGGCTGTTGGGGCTTACAATGTCAGAAGTTTCCCAGCTCTAACCTCCACGGGCCACCACCCCGTGACAAGCAGTATCACATGCCTGTGAACCAGAGGGTACCCGGCCTGACCTGGGCCAGGTCCAGAGAGACGGACAGAAGTCAGCCTCCAGGCTGTGACCTGCTCTGAGCCAGGCCAGGGGGCCATCCTGCCTGTCCTGGGGATGAGGCCCTGGGAGTGGGCCTGATTCAGCACCCCATCCCATCAAGGGTCACAGGGGCGCTGCTGGGACTGCAGTCCCCACCACCAACAAAGCCACAGTGGGAGCCAGGAAGAAGCTTGGCTTGGCAGGGCCGTGGTGGGCACCCCCCCACAGCCAGGTGGTCGGTGAGTAACTGCCCTGTCACTCATGACTCACTCCCCAGAGCAGGCGGTCACCATGACAGGCTGCGCCGGAAGACCTGGTGTGTGTGGGGGGTGTCACAGCCAACCCCCACATCTGGGAGAGGACGCCAAGACCGGAAGGGACCTGCCCAGGACAGTGTCCCAGCCTGGGCCTGGCTCTGGGCCCAGGCCGGGCCCCCACGCCAGCTGACACAGCAACATAGACCCTCCTGGTGGCCTGGGCCCCACCTGCCCCCTCTGGGCCTTCACTGACCCCCACCAGCCCTGGGAGCTCTGATCTGACCCTGGGGCCTGGGGGTAGGGTGCTGGCCCAGGCTGCTGCACACAGCTGGGCCACCCTCGGCATCTGTGGGGCCCGGGGCCTTTCCAGGCCAGCACACCCGTCCAACCCAATCAGCAACAGAGGCCCAGGCATGGGTCTGGCTCCACTGTGTGAGGGCCATAGGCAGGCGCAGGAGCTGGGAGAGCAGCCCAGATGAAAGGGGCTGGATCAACTGTCAGCCAGTCTGATTGGAGTGATGGGATGATTTCTGGAAAGTTCTCTGGAGCAGAACGAAGCTCAGTCTCACCAGTTGACCCTCTGGCCGCTCCTGCAGGGCTGAGGGCAGGTGCACATGGAATCCTACTGCCTTGCCAAGTTCAAGGCCCACTGGCATGGGCTGCCCCACGTAAGTCCCCTCAGGGTCAGGTACGGGACCACCCACCCATCATGCAGGCTTTCGCTGCAACTATTGAGGCCCAGCGCTCACCTGGGGCATCACACAAACTGGCCCACACTTAGCCACCCAGCAGAGCACAGGAAGCCAAGCACTTATGTTAGCTTCTGGCTCCCAGGAACCGCATGGAGTTGGTGGTCCTTAGGAAGGGTGACATCAGCATTTCCTTCCACCTGGGGCTGAAGACCAGGTGCCACCTCCCCAGCCTGCCTTACTGTCCCCAAGGCTGCCTGATTTTCCCCCAAGACACACACTAGACCCCAGCACTGGCCCAGGAACATTTGAGAAAGCTGTTCCCTTAAAAGGATTTCTGCCCACAAAGCTGGCAGTACAGGCAGGAGTGAGCTTGTGTGGGTACAGATGGTGGCCACAACAGGCCAGGAACGGGACATCCCAAAGGAAAACTTGGGGGCTGCAGAGTTATCCTGGCTACCACCTGCCAGACAGCACTTCAGCTGCTGCGGGGTACCCCACTCTCACTGGCCCCTGGGCCCCACCCCGTGACCCCTCCCTCCCTAGTATTACTCAAAATCGCTGCCCCCAAGGGCTCCTGGCTTCCACCCCTGGACACCTCCCCCCAGGCACACCAGACCTCAGCCAGCCGCTCCAAAAATGACTCCTCAGGCAGAGAAGCTGCCGGATCATCGATAGCAAGGCTTTTGATCCAGATGCCAGGATTCTGGGGAGGGGAAGGCTTTTTGAACTTCAAGAACTGGAAGCCAGGGTACTAAGGCCCCCTTGCCATTTTGGAGCAAACCAGAAGCAGGGCGCTCCGGCTCGTTACTCTTTTAGCCTGAGTCCCCATGAATCAGGCGGTGCTTACCCGGGCCTGCTCCTGCCCCCGAGCGGCCCGCTACCCCCACCCCGCCCCAGGC